AATGTATATTTTGGAAGACCAATTAATAGAATATTTAAGTGTTGATGTGGTGCGTATTTTTGGAGTGTAAATTTGGTCTCCACAATAAAAAGATAGACACGAGTGTCACAATCATACAAATTCTTGCACAATAAGCAACTTTTGGGTTTTGTCGTTTTGATATCATGTCTTTATATAAAGTACAAAATTTAGTTTTCACAGTAAAAAACATACTATAGGTTAGGGCATTATTTCTCTTCATATATATATCAAAGGTGACAAAAGATGTCGATCGTCGATATTGAGTGGGGGAAACTTGTGGAAGGGAGGGCAAGAACTTCCTCTATTTTGAAAATTATAACGTTTTTGACTCTTAACATATTTTTCTTTGGAAAGGATTAATTTAAAATATATGACAAAACTAAAAGCATTTCAAGTTTAATTAAATGAAATATATATTAAAGTTTTCTAATTTAGCTTATTGAAAACACTATTTATATTAATTTAATCCTTTAATTAAGGTAATTTATAGTAGTATATATTATAGAAGGTGACCCTTTATGAATAAAATGAATATTTACTCTTTGTATGAAGAAAAGCAAGATATTGTGACTAGAGATGGATATTTTGGAGGGCAATTATTGGATTGAGTTGTGGACAAAAGTTGCACTGCAACTCTCTTTGAACACAATTGTAGGCTTATTATTAAAAGCGTTGGTAATTGATAATATGCTCATGCATGAACTTGGGTCCACCATATGGTCCCATTGATTTACAATCGTTGGATATAATTTAACGGTTAGGATTAATCAAGTGAAACCTGTTCGATACAATCGTGTAGTGCTATGTTGTGTTGCACCATGGAACAGCTACGAGTCTCAGAATGCAGGCTGCAACATCAGCACTTGAGTTATTATAGATCCAAGGATTAAGACTCGGGAAAGAGACTGTACCTTATTTTGTTTATTTATTTTCGATTTTAATTTAGAGATCTAAGTAGTAAGATTCATACGAAAACATGGTACAGAGGAAATATGAAAAAGTATTTCTGAATACTGTTTCTATTCGTATTATGAAGAGAGAGATATACAAAGGTTAGGAAAGATGCAATATATTCTATGAATAGTAGTACGTACTTAAGCCAGGTGTCTGTTTGTTTTGGAGTGTTTTGGTGCTCCTTTATTATTAACAAATTATATATTGACACTTGTCTTGAATAAGATGAGTCATATTCAGCTCTTATAGATATAGTTAAGGGATATTTTTTGAAATTTTATTTTGGATTTAACATATTTTTTTATTTGATGAAATGATGAGAAGTTGTGGTTGTTCGATGTCAAAATGGGAATGGGAAAAGGTGGCAATGACGGTGACGGTGACGATGGTGGTAGTGATGGAGGTTGAGGCGGATGGGGGGTTCAGGGGCCAAAGGATGGGAGACAAGATATGACGTAGGAGAGAGGATGGGGAAGGTTCCTGGGTAGGGATCCATGGCAATGGGAGCAATAACTAACAAAGATGATTCCAATTCCAAAATTTGAATGAAATGAAATGAACATACTATAGCTTCGTTTGGCTATGGTATGGATCGTGAGATTTGGAATAGTGGGTGTTAAGGTACACATCTGGCCTCGAATTCCGATGTAGAGGTGGAGCTGGTGGTTGCTGGAGCAGGGATCCCACCGCACTTGTCGTAGCGGGAAACAATGAGAATCTAACGGTAGGAAGGATAAGAGGAATGCGATTTGAGCCAAGCTTCAATGTGTAGGCCACATGGAATCCATGTCCACACTGAGGCAGCACTTGGATTTTGTCTCTAATGACAAATTCCGTGAGGCAGATGGCATAGTTGATGAACTTGACCATGGATTCGGTCGTGGAAGTGAGCTTGGGGGAGGAGCACATGACCTCCTTCTTAACGCCTTTGTTGCAGTGGCGGGAGGAGACTAGGGACGACGATCCTAGAGAGGTGGAGGTGACGAAGACAGTGTTGAGATTCATGGAGTAGTGAATCAACTCAGCCCTGGAGTATGAGAGTTTTGATGATAACAAAGGATGGATTCTGAGGGTTGAAGTTGACCAAGGACACAAACTAGTCAAGAAAGGAAGATATGAATATCATGATGTGTAATAGAAGTAGCTTATGAGTTCTTATGTGTTGTATTGTTTTGATTAGTTTTTGCATGTGTATGTTTTGTGCATGAGTTAATCTTAATCTAAATTGACTGAGAGTAAGTGTGATGATGATTTAAAATACTTGGAAAGATTTTTGAAGTATAAAATTGAGTTTTTGAAAGCTAACTCAAAATAATCGATTATCATTAAGTGTAATTGATTATTCCAACAATAGGTGAAAAGAGCCTTGCTGTAATAATCGATTATTTGTGAAATAATCGATTATTCTGTTCTTGAGTGGTTTCCAGAAATCATAAAGAACAAAATAATCGATTATCTGTGTCTGAAAAGTTTATTAATAGCTTTCACACTTTGAAACTTAAGAAGTGAGATGAACTAAAAACAAAAGAGAGAAAAACTAATATTGTGAAGTCTTTGTGACCTTCTTGGAGTGTTTTCTTTGTGAAACCAAGAAGAGAAACATTTTGCGAAAAGCTTTGAAAGAGATCATCATCATCACTACATTTTTGGGAGAGAAAGATTAAGATTTGTTTGGAATTCATAGTCAGGTTTGTTCAGCTTCCAGGTGAATTCGTTCCTTTAATTCTCTGTGTAATGTGTAAGGGAAATTTTGAGTAGGTGTCTCAAGTGGTAAGGAATTCTTGTAGTGAGTTTTTACAAGAAGTGCTTTCTTGGGGGCAAGAAAGTGGTTATCTTGAATGTAGGACTATATGCATATGTGGTATGCTTGTAAAACTTCTTCATTAAGATAGTGGAACAAATCTTGATCAGGTTATGATTGAGGACTGGATGTAGCTGACATGTGGAGTGACTGAACCAGGATAAAATACTTGTGCATTCTTCTCTCACCCTTATCTCTTACATTGAGCAAAATCTTAATTGAGTGATAACATGGCTGGTCTTGATTAACATGCTTGTATGCTTAACATTGCTTTAAACTGAATCAAAGTATTGCATATTAGTTGTTCTTAAAACTAAACTTAATCAAGATTAATCAAGATTAATCAAGATTAATCAAGAAAGCATATAGGACTCATTCCCATTGGCAAGTCTTTCAAGAAACTTCTTTGAGAATTCATATTAGAAAAGTTTAAGTTGAAATAAAGATCCTTAAAACTTTGATAATTTTTTTAAGTGTCATAGAATCCAATTCACCCCCCTCTTGGATTGAGCCATTCTTTTCTAACAGACAGCCACAACACGTAACAGCGACGAGGCCGAGGACGCAGATGAAAGCGTAGAGGAGGGAGTTGAAGTCGACAATGGTGAAGTCGATGGACTAGCTAAGTCAAATACAAAATATGTTAAATCTAAAATGAATTTCCAAAAATATCCCTTGACTAATTTTGTAAGAGCTGACCATGACTAACCTTGTTCAACACAGGTGTCAATATGTGATTTGTTGATGACCAAAGGGGCACCCAAACCCTCTCAAACAAACTAGCACCATAACAAATACCAAAGGAAAATACTAACCACTTCTAGATAACTCAACATAACAAACTAAGCAAAGAAAATACCATTCCATGCATAAAACACCACCATACTTCACACATGTATTACACTAATAACTAATTACATGAAATTTTATTTCTTGATGACCCCGTCAAACTTAGGTTGGTATATATCTTGTGAAAAAGTTATTGGAATTAGATAATATAGAGTGCTTTAGTGAGGAGGTTTACAATTTAAGTTGAACTAAATAATGATAACAATCTAATAAGACCAACATTACACTCCTCTTTCTCTCTAATTACATGACAATCAATTTTTAGGTGTTTTGTTCTTTCATGGAACACCATATTGTCAACTATATGTAAAGCATTTTGATCGTCATAGTATAAGATTGGTTGCCTAGAACAACTCACTTGTAAATCTTGCATAAGGTAGGACAACCATTGCAATTCACAATTGGTTGCTACCAATGCTTTGTATTCTAATTCAAAGGATGATCGAGTAATAGTTTGTCACTTCTTGGATTTCCAACACACTAAAGAATCACCTAAGAAGAAACAATACCTCATGATAGATCTTCTACTATTCAGACAATCTCTTCAGTAGACATCTACAAATCCCTTCGACTGGAGAGCTGAAGTTTGAGGGAATAAAATCCCTTTGCCAGGTGCTCCCTTTAGATATTGCAAGACCCTATGAGTTGCCTTATAATGTTGAGCAGTGACATTAGCCAAGAAATGGCTAAGTTGTTGGACTATAAAGGGTACATCTAGCCAAGTAGTGGTGAGATATTACGATCTTCCTATAAGCCTACAATATCCTAGAATGTTCATTTGAGACACCACCATCATGATGAAGTCTCATTGATGGGTCAATAGGTGTATTTTCATGTTTACATCCAATGGTCCCAATATCATTCAACAAATCCAAGCAATATTGCCTTCAGTAGTGAGAAATGCCTCTAGGAGAATGTGCAACCTCTAATCCTAAAAAAAACTTCAATGTCCCCAAGTTCTGAATTCCAAAGTGATCATTTAAGATTGATTTAATAATAGTAAGTTCCTCTAAAGAGTTCCTAGCTAGAATTATGTCATCAACATAAACCAATAGAACCGTGAAAGATGGAGCATCACTTTCGATGAAAATTGAGTAATCTGAGGTTTCCTAAGAATATCCAAACTAAAGCAAGAGAGAAGTTAGTCTTTCATACCATTTCCTCCTAGATTGTTTTAAGCCATAGAGGGACTTGAAAAGCTTACAAACATTTGCTGAATGCACACCTTGTGTCCTTTTAGGAACATCCATATAAACATCCTTTTAAAGTTCACCATGAACGAAAGCATTATTCACATCAAGTTGGTGAATAAGCCATGTGACACTCATCTACCCACAAGAATGAGTACCAATTAATTACATAAATTTCAAATTATATCAAAATATGTCCATATTTTGGCTCAAATGATATAAGCACAAGTCACTCACAATTTGGGTGTCTCCTTTTGTCAACACTCCCACAACTTCATGAGTTGTAGTATTTGTCTTCCGTGAAACCGCTGCCACCTTTGTCCCAACCTATGGCAAATCAGAAAAGGACATCACATTCAGAAATCAGTCAATAAGATCATTCATCACCAAAGATACTAGAAAATTAAAAAAAAATAAAAAAACAAAAAGTTTTATCATAAGCTAAGCTTATACACAAGTTAAAAAACATATTTTGGAAAACTTTTTCATTTGCACTTGTAGGAGAGAAAAACATGAAAGAAAAATGAAATAAACTTTTTATACACTAAAATTAGCTCATGCATAAGCTAATTTGGATTTTTTTTCGCCCATTATCAACTCAAAAAAAAAAAAAAAACTTAAGCATAAGTTAATTTTAGCTTATGCAGAAGCTTATTTTATTTTTCCTTCCTACTTTTCTCTCTTAAAACCTGGAGAAGTTACCCAGACAGGTACTTAAGCTAATTTTAGTTTTTTAAGAAGCTTATAATAAGTGATTTTAAACAAGTTTATCTAAGCAGGCCCCAACTTAATTAACTCGAGAAACCCTCAATAAAAACCGAAATTGTAGCAGCACCATCTGCATGTGTCCACAAAGTTTCACATTTGTCTACAATTTTCAGCGATCTAAAACCATGAACCACACCAGTAAAACTAATAATAACGCGTTTGGATACAAGTTAAAAGTGCTTATGAAGCCTTCAAAAGTTCTTTTACCCTTGAATTCAAATTGGCTAAAACTCAAGTAAGTTTAGAAATTGTCAACGACGGCATCATTATAGAACGAACCATATAATTAGTGAGGGCAGACTTGCCGGCATTGGGGGCACCGATGATTCCAACGGCCAAGGATTTCTGGTCTTCCTCGTTGACCACCGCCGCGCCTTTCCCTTCTGCCTCCTCGTCATCGCCGTCGTCCACGGCGGCCTCCAGCAGGGCCTTCGCGAGGGCCCTCCTCCGCCTCTCGTCCTCCTCCTCCTTCAGCCGCAGCTTCCCCTTGGGGCCGTCTTCCCCGAACACCACTCGGTCCGCGCGGGCCCGGTACTTCTCGTCCCACGTGGGCCCGGGCTCGGGCGTGGGCTTGGTGTCATGGTGGAGGGCGTAGCGGGAGCTGTCGAAGACGGCGTCGGAGTCCGCGGCGGAGGTGGTGGGATCCTCGTGGGCCTGGGCCTGGGCCTGGGCCTGGGCCGAGAAAAAGGCGCGGAAAACGGGTGTGGGAGAATAGAGAGTCCTTCTTAGGGTTCTCAATGCTTTCATTGTGGAGATTCGACCATTGACCTCTTGCAGAGTTGGAATGGGGTTTTGGGGTTTAAGGGTTCAGGTTTGCAAAGCCGTTGTTTCTTCCTAACTCCACATGTTATTGTCAATTTGTTATTCGATAAAAACAATACAACTACTATTATGCATCTGACCTCTTAAAATTATATTTTAAATTTTGTATATATAAATATTTTTAAATATATAAATTATATTTTAAATTTTTTATAAATAATTTATATTGTAGAATAATATTATTTTTATTTATTGACAATTAATTTTAAAAATATTAAAATTTAATTAATAAATAATTATGATAACTTAAAATTGAATTAGATAAAAAAATTATAAAAATTTCTAAAAATCTTTTTGTAGAAAAAATACTCATAAAGACGCTTTCACACAAAATAGAAGTTTGTGTTTAATATGTAGAGATTGATTAATTAAAATTTACTAAAATTATAAATTTTAAAAAAAAATTATTAAACAGGGTGTGATACTCACTAAAATTTTATGTTTTTCAATAAATTTTGACCAACAAAAGAATATTTAAAAGAGTATAAGAGATAGTGTGTTGTTAGTACTTATTTTATATATTACTGGTAGGAAAAAGAAACACTTCATGTCTCTTAAGTTTTAGAAATTATAAATAAAAATAAATAAATTTAATGGGTGGTTATAAATGGTTACTTAAAAAATACGAATTGTTATTTCATTTATTTTTTAAATAAATGAGGGATATAATGGTTCACTAAAACTGGAGACAATAACAATTATTTATCATATATCTTCTTTATAAAAGGTATAAATTATAAGTTTCGATATTGGGGGAAGGAGAGTGAACCATAGTTATAGTATTTTTACTAAAGGGTTAAATAAGTTAAGTTTTTAAAATAGGGTTACGTCAGTTTCTTATTTTTAAGCTTATCTTTTTACTCTTGGGCGTACACTCTCAAGCACAAAAAGGAGAGCAAGAGTTTGTGAGAGATTACCTTAGAGATCCACATCCTTCAACTAATATTCATTAAAGGTAAGGGGGTGAGTAATCTCGCTTTAAACATGGGATAATTGTTGGGTAGTGAAGTTAATCCTAACTTGTCTTTGTTGTATGTGTGTTGTGAAAGGGGGAAATCCCAATTATGATTTGTGATTATTTTTTGTATGTTATATGACTCTTCAATTCTTTAATTAATGCTACTAATATATCTATATGGTTAATTTTGTATATTGAATTGATTTTGTGTAACTCGAGTTACCTGTTGATTCTTGTGGAAACCCTAAGGGAATGTGTTTGGGTGAAATTGTGTGAATAGTTAATAAAAGTATGTAATTATGTACGTTATATGTGACGTTTGAATTATAATATATAGTAATTTCATGTTATTTGAATTGTTTGGGAATTTGTGAGTATCTATAATTCATGTAGAAAGTTGTTGATTTATAGAGCAAGATGTACTTTAACGTTAATTGTATGAATAATTGAAATTAATATTGGACTTAAGTAATTGATAGTATAACAAAGTAGTTTTAGGCTATAATCTATGTTTTTATCAATTGGATGGGGAGAAGAGAGTTTGAGTGTGAGTTATGCTTTTATTTTGAAAATTTTAGCATGAATATTCTTTGGTATTTATGTGATTTTTTCTATGTGTGATTAATAAAATTGAGTTCTAATTACTGGGTTACAAAGTAACACTTTGGGCTATAGTTTAAACTCAAGAATCATATAAAATTGTTAAAGAATGACTAAGTTATATGAGTTAAAAGATGAACATCATGTTTTGTGCAAAAAATGTAACATGCATATGTTGTAAGGCTTTTGAGAAGATTTGATAGGCAAAAATAGTAGTCCAAAATTAAAAAGTAATTAATTAATCTTTTTATTTCAAGTGAATCAATTATAAAAGAATTGCACCACTTGTGACTTTCTCTATCCCACATGTCATAACACATAATATATTAAATAACTGAATAACCTCAAATATAATAAATAAACTCAAAATTTGTACAAGTAGAAAGCGTCACATTTTAACATAAACTATACTTAGTGAAAATAACAAATTACAATGGAAACAAAAATTAAACTACTCAAATTAAATAGCATGAATCAAATCCTAATTAATTCCTTAGTGTCGTGTGTCCTATTAGAGCAAAACCTAACATTAAGGTTTAAACCTCATCACCAACATTCTCAACACCATGCTAATGATTACCTGCAACAACCACAAGAAAATAACACAAAAGAAAAGAAAGTGAAAACATATCACTTTGGCTCGCATAATAGGAATGCAATTCGACTAACCAAACACAAACAACACATATAATGAGATATAACATACATAGTTACTCATCAACATATTTACCTCATTCATAGCATAATATGCAAAAACATATAAGATAATAATGGATATGCAATGGAAACGAAATACCTGTTATCATGAATGTGACATCAGTAAAACATCACACTTGTGCATTGCCGCTAGCAACACACTAGAGTAGTTTAGGAGTACATGTCAACTCACACCTTTTGTGCACTCTCACTAGAAGGAGATACTACTAGGGTTTGGTTGGGATAATTAAGTCACGTAAGATACATCCCATGCTCATAAGGGCGGGATTAGGACTTCTAAACCGAGTTATCCCCAAGGTTGGTTCCTAAGCTTTTACACAAGAGACCTTTCCTGGTGGCGTATTCCATATTTTACCCTTTCAAAAACATTTTTATGCATATGATGCATTTCAATCAGACTCAATGTATTAATTTAGCATGACCTTATAGTTTCACATTTAACATTCTCCTCATATTGCATTACTCTTTGCACATAGTCATATGTTCATATATTAATATCAATACATATCACATTAACATAACATTACAAGAGTTACAACATTGGGTCAAACAATAGAACAATATAAGAATTATAGTCAAGACAACACCTAGCGGCACATGCCCCACATTCGATGCGAGTCTTCTAGAGGACCACACTAGTCTTTATTTGAACCGCGCCCGACGTGACCAAGTTCATGCCCAACAAGAACATCACTGAGAGCTCTTGAGAGTGTCCATGCCTAATGAGAGTTAACTCATGCTCGACAAAAGTGTCACAAGGAAACTTTGGAGCTTCCGTGCCCAATGAAGGTCATCCCACGCTTAAGGTGAGAGACCTCAAGAGCAAACTTTGCTTTTAACCTCGATGACGCCTAGCATGCCCCAAGTAGCGCCCGATAATGTATCATAAAACACACAACAAAAAACACATAATTTTGAGTTGAAGTTAGACAAGAAACACATAGAAGGGGGGTTGAATATGTGTGTGTGTGAACGAGGAAATTTTTAAAAATGTTTTCGCAGAGAGACTCTTGTTCGTCCAATATAACTTAGTTTGAATACTTAAAGACTGTGCAGGATTGTTTTAACAAAGGATTTTCTGTTTGAAAGTTTATCGTTTGCACAAGCAAAATGTTTCTTAAGAAATATTAAGTTAAGCACATGTATTTTGCGTCTGAAAATAGTCATAGTTAAGAATAAGCATTGGAAGAAGTTTCAATATGATATATCAGTTAAGCAAAAAAGCGTCTGAAACATAAATAAGTAGTGCACAAATTTTTATATTGGTTCGCTCAGACTGAGCTACATCCAGTCTCCCTCAATTGAAGGGTTCCACTAGATATTCAATGAAGTACAAGTACTCTTTGTTCAGCCTCTTCAGGCTCGCAGTGAGTATTCTCGACCACTCCTAGTCCCGAGTATTATCAACCACTCCTGGTTCGCCAAATTCACTCATTGGCGCTAATATTCTTTGTTCATCCTCTTCAGGCTCGCAATGAGTATTGTCAACCACTCTTGGTCCCAAGTATTATCAACCACTCCTGGTTCGCCAACTTCACTCATTGGTGCTAATATTCTTTGTTCAGCCTTTTTAGGCTCGTAGTGAGTATTCTCGACCACTCCTGGTCCCGAGTATTATCAACCACTCCTGGTTGGCTAACTTCACTCATTACCTCTAGTATTCTTTGTTCAGCCTCTTCAGGCTCTTAGTGAGTATTCTCGACCACTCCTGGTCCCCGAGTATTCTCAATCACTCCTGGTTGGCTAACTTCACTCATTAGCTCTAGTATTCTTTGTTCAGCCTCTTCAAGCTCTCAGTGAGGATTATCGACCACTCCTGGCCTGCTAACTTCACTCATTAGCGCTAGTATTCTTTGTTCAGTCACTTATAGCTCTTAGTGGATTTTCGACCACTCCTGGCCCGCTAACTTCACTCATTAGCGCTAGTATTCTTTATTCAGCCACTTATGGCTCTTAGTGAGGATTGTCGACCACTCCTGACTCACTAACTTCCACTACAAGAAAAATGATTATTATCTACAGAATATTATCTACGGAATTTTTTCCGTAGATAATGTTTAATTATCTACGAAATATTATTTATGGAATTTTTTCCGTAGATAATTTTTAGTTATCTACGGAATATTACCTACGAAATTATTTCCGTAGATAATATTTAGTTATCTACGGAAATTTCCGTAGATAATTTATCAACGGATTTTTTCGTAGATAATATATCTACGAAAATTTCCGTAGATAACTTCACCCATAGATAACTCGTCCCTTCACGATAAACAACATATCAATAACAATTACTACTTTGAAATATATTAACAAAAATTCATACTTCAACTATAATAACAACAATTCGTACTTCAATTCCACTTACAAACATCAACCATTCCATTCACAAGCACACATACAGAAATGCAATGCGATGCGCACCTACATCTAAATGCATGGGATACCCGACCATCATCATCAAGAAGATACAGTTGGTACCTGAGTCCCGAGCTAGCCTTAGGCTACCAACACAGAAGTGCTCCCACCAGAACACCAACAGGTTCCCACTAGAACCACATAAATAAATTCCCACAAAAACCACAAATCATACAAGTATAATGCATGTCACAACCATGCCAATGCTTCTATATTAATACATTATGATCATCATCTAGTTCATCATTCGCCGACATCTATATCCATCCACATCAAGTTCATCCATCATGGTAATAATCATCATTCATAAGGTATGTATATACATTCATCATCAAATAAACAATCATAAAAC